CACTAAATGGATTGGGCTGGGGAAGGAATACTTTCTTTAAAGGAAGAGGAAAAATACATTTGTGAAATGGATATAAACTCACTGTGAAATTGAACTGGAAATGGAAATCAAGTTGAACATTCATCAAACAATTCTTGATAAAGATAGTAAGGATGCAATGAGGTGGTAAATGAGAGCATATTAGAAAAAAATAAAGCTCATTAAGGCATTAACGTCAAGGGGAAGCTGCCAGCTGTTCTGGCCCAAGCTTCCTAATACAGCAAACCCAGGCTGAGTTCAGCTAAGCTCTGTAAGTTTGGGGCTGCCACTGGAAGTCCAACTCTGGCTTCAGCCTCAAGTACATAGTGGGAATAGTGGGAATTCCATTCATTCAAAATTTTTTGAGTATCTACTATGTATCAGGTATTATTCTATACACTGGAGACAGTCCAGAACAAGACAGACTGGGGCTTCATTCTCCCTCCCATCCCACCCTCATGTTATGCATATACTGAGACTAAAGCCCTGAGCAATTTTTTAACTGCATAAAGCTCTTTTTCACAACAACTGACTTAGAAACCAAGTGTTCCAGCACCTTCTGGCCATTGGGACATTTGTGACTATACCCTTTCCAAAGCGGATAAAGTAGTAACTTCTCCTGACTCAGGAGACTTGGGACCTCACCCAGTCCTGCCAATAACTTGCTAAGTGCATGACTGTGAATGAAAGAGTCATTTTTGTTCTCTTGGTCTGAGACCTCTTCTGTGGAAAGAGAAGACTTAGCTAAATAAAGTGGTTCTCAAACTTATCTCAGCTGTGGACCCTTTCTCGAAGTAAAATCTTACATAGAACCCCACATATGAAACAGCTGAGAGTGGATCTTCGGTTGAAATGGGAGCAGAAGGCTCACAGTCCCACTCATCAGGCTCCCCTCATCTCCCAAGGTAGTTTCTGAGCCCCCCTCCCCAGAGAGCTCAAAGTTTAGAAGGTAGAAGTTTGAAAACCACTAGTTCAGAGGATCTCCTGCAGGTTCCTCCTGTTCTAAGATTCCATTTCTCTATAACAAAAGCACTATAAACAGCAGAAAAACAAGACATAGTCCATTACCTTAACGAGCTTAAAATCTAGTAGAGGAGATGTATTACAAGAATCAAGCAATTTGGCTTATTGAGCAGCTTCTATGTGCATGGGACCATGCTAGGTGTGCTGTGACACTTCCTACTTCTCTTCAGTTGAAGATTCTGGCTCATGGCATTCTGGCCTCTTCTTCACCCCAAGTCCTGCCATTATCCTGGAAGATTCCAAGGTCCATATAGATCACCCACCAATGCCTTGACATCTCACATCCTCCTTATTTCCAGTTACCTTGTCATCTCTCCCACTTTGCCAACTACTTGCATAACCACACTAAGGGTTGTATCGTCAATAACCACTTCACTTCTGAAGTACTAGAATTAGACATTTGGATTCCAGCTTTTCCTTTTTACATAATTTGTTCTCAGTGCAATCATAAATACCTTAAATTCCTTGTCCAGCTCCCTTTACTTGCTTCTTTGTCCAATGCAGAGTCTCTAGATTTCATTATTTTAATCACTGTCCAAATAAAATATTCAATTCTCTTGCCCCATTGTCCTTCCACTCCATTTTTGTGGCAGAACCTCAACCCTGGATAAATTCAAAAGTCTTCTCATGTCTATACTAAATGTTGCTAAACATAAATTCAGGGTCTCTGGCCTTGACTGGACCCTCCACAGTCAGCTTTCCTTTCCATTCCTGCTCTCCCCAGTCAGATTTCTTTTCCTTTCTCCACAGTGATTATTTGAAACTTTTTCACTCTCTTGCAAACTCTGATATTTCTATTCCTCTCCGACTTTCAGCAGATGACTTTGCTTCCTGCTTCACAGAGGACACAAAAACCACTGAACAAGTCCTTTGGTTTCCTGTCAAGTTAAAAACCCATTTGGATGTCTGTCCATCCTCCCTTTCTTCCTCCCGAAACAATGGACAAAGTGGCCTACCTCCTGACTAAGGCTAGCTGTTTTCTGATTTTCTGAGTCCTAAACCTGCCCATTTGGGGACTCTTGCCCACCAGTATTTAAACATACACAAATTTCCTCTTAGCTTGGCTCCATAATCTTTTCTCCTCTTCACAATCAAACTTTTTGGAAAGCGTTATCTACACTCACCATTTTCACATCCTCATCTCTCACGCCCTCCTCAATTCACTCCCATTCACCATCCCATGGGTTGGGATCTAGGAAACAATCTGTTTTCTGTCCTTCATTGGAACTACTCTTATTAAAGACTCCAACCACCTTCTTGTTGCTAAATTCAGTAGTCACTTTTTATCCATTATTTTGTTTGACTCATTGGCAGTACCTGACACTCTTGACTACTCCTTCTTGAAATACTCTTCAGCCTGGCTTCTGTAACACACAGGCTCCTGACTTTTCTCCTACTTCCCTGGCTGTTTTGTCCCAGTTTCCTGTTGGGAGCACTCCTTTTGTCCACATAGAGAGGTTTGCCTTAGGTTTCTGCCTTTGAGTGTTTTTATCAACCAACATATGGGAACATCTTATCCATCTTACCATCTACTTATTGATGATTCTCAAATTTATCTCCAGCCCAGGACTCCAAACCCATAAATCCAACTGTTTGTTGAACATCCACACATGGCTGTTCCAAAGACACTCTGAAGTCACTGTCTCAAAAGCTGAACTCCTCTCTCTGGTTTGACACCATCAAACCAGAAAATTAAGTCTTCCTTAACCTGTTCTTATACTCAAACCTCTGCCTATAGTACCTTCTTCCTCACTTCCTATACTCATTAATCCCTGAGTCCTGTTGACTCTGTCTCCTCTCAATTCCATCCACTTGTCTCCATCCTCACAAACACCATTACAATAACAGCCTCCTAACTGGTCTTGCTACCTTCATTCTGGTACCAACCATCTACTTTCCACACAGCAGGCAGAGTGATTTTCCTAAAGCACAAATCTGTTTGTGTCTCTCCCATGTTACTAAACCCTGAAGGAGTTTCTTATTGTCCAAACTCCCTAGTGCAGACATTCATGTTCTTTCATGGTCAGGTCCCTGACTACCTCCTCATTCTCATCATCTCCTTCCTCATTTCCTCTCTTCACACTCTAGGCTACAGCAGCACTGAGGTCACTTTTAGCTCCTCAAACAAATCGGCTTTTTCTTGCACATGTCTATCTCCCCTGAAAACTATTCTCCCATCTTTTTCCTTGGCCCTTAAATTCTCATACTTTAGGACTCAATTTAATTTGTCACTTCCTTTAAGAATATTTTTTGGTTCATTAGCCTAGACCAGAACCCCTCCTTTGGGCTCCCATAGTATCCAATACTCCCTTGTTTAACTGTTTATCTTCCCCCATCAGGCAATATGGACCCTAAGGATAGGACCTGTGTCTTATTTTGTAGCTTCAGTATCTACCTACAGTACCTGGCACATGGTAGATATGCAATTTATTGCTGAATGTGATTGTGTAATGGATCTGTGATAAGGGGGGCTGGGAAGTAGGGCACAGAAGATAAGCAAGCAGGGAAACATTATGAGAAAAGGAGAGAGGAAAACATATGGCAGATACGTAGACTTCATTTCTCAGTCCCAGTGATGGGAAACAGTTTGGACCAAGTCATGGAAACAGGTGGCAGCAAGGACTTCTTTACTTGAAGTCCAGTGTCTTCTTCATGGCAAGTTTCTCCACCTCCAAATGAATTAAGGCCACAGCCTTGCTCCCTGGGGCAAGTCTCTCTGCGAATTATCCCAAATCAGCTGAGTGGATTTTTGTCAGCTTTGATTATTAATGTCAAATTTTTCTCTGAAAAGTGTTCAGATTGGCCATTTCATCTCCAGTGCCACTTACTTAATCTAGACTACTATCTCTTCATCTGGGGCGAATATCCAGATTAACTGGTCTGTCTTTCCTCTCCAATTCATCTCATGCAGAGTTATTGGACTATCTCCCTCAAAAGCTCTATAACACTATTCTTGTGCTCAAAACTAGACTTCCTCCCCCATACAACAAACATATATGTTGTGACCTGGCTTCTTGGCTCTTTGCTCCTGTGACAACTATTACACCTGTTCTCCACCATCTCTCCAGTATCTCTTCCCACTTCTGCAACTAAGTTTCATGACTGTGAATCTTGGACTTAGAGCTCACTCTAAACTTAAAACCAGTTTTTAAGAGGGCATAAAATTCAGGGGCCCAAAACTGGCAAAACAATCTCTTCTATTTTAGAACATTTACAAAGATAAAAATTTGGCTACACCTAGGCAATATTTTCTCAGTTCACTGAGAAGGTATCCTTTAATATGGTATATAAGTAAAAACTGACATCTATTGTTTCCATTGGATGATCTATTTCTAGGTTTTTGCCCAGACAAAATTTGATTGCATCTATTAGTACTTGTGCCAAAACACAGTAATGCATTTGTCTAAGTCTCAAAAGTTTCTGTGTAAGATACTTTTGGTGGAAAAGTAGAAATACAAGAGTTAGAGGGCAAGATTAACAACAACAGCAGTAAAAAAGGAAGAAAGAAAGAAAAAGAAAGGAAGGAAGGAAGGAAGAAAATTCTCAAAACAATTATCAGACATAATGTTAAATAAAAATAGCAAAAAACAAACCTCTCTGCAAAGTATAGTCTTAATTATTTAAAAAATACATATATATGTAAGTATACAGAAAAAAGACAAGAAAGAAAAATTAGGACGTTAACATCTCTCCCTGGGGGGAATTATGGGTTATTATAATCTCCTTATACTTTTCCATGCTTTCCAGATTTTCTAAAAAAGCCTGTATTTATTTTTAAAATCAGGAAAAATAGTTTAAAAATGTAATAACATACCAAAAAACAAACTTTCTGGGGAATTCTTAGAACTAAGTTTTCTATGTACATCATTTGGAAATAAATGTCAAATTTTTATAATAATCAAGCCAAATAAAATGTACCCCACAAATAATTAAAGTGATATGGGATTTTCTCAATTTACCAGAGCTCCTCTCTCTCTTCCTTTGGGCTTTGAATCTCTACTTCCAAAATTGGTACTTTAGACACAAGATATTTACAGATATTTTCAGTTGTAATTAAATTAGCAGCTGCAGTTTTTCTCTCTACCGTAAAATGGTTTAATTGCTCAAATTCTTCTGAAAGCTTCAAGACCTGTAAAGTTAAGTGAAAAGACAAATATTCTATTTTGCATATTTTTATGCATGCCTGTGAAAAAAGTGTATTGATTCCATTAAATGCTTAAATAATTATTGGCTTAAATAATATAAATTGACATCCAAATTGAAGTCTTATTCCAATTTCACAATTTGCAGTTGTTACATAATCTAATACATTTTTACCATAGGCACAAGAGTGCGTAAGTCTATGGTTTTAAAAAAAGGGATATTGTTGGTCTCTGAGATTGGCTTCCCAGAGTGCTGTTTAGGGTTTCGTTCTGTCTTTTAACAAGCAAAAAGATGTAATACTCTATTAGAGCTTTTACATTATTATCACATGTTTTTGTTCTCAAGTTTTGAGTGTACTTCATTGATTCATAAAAGCAATAATATACTATTGCAAGAAAACATTAAAAAGAATATGAGTTATGCATTACAGAGAACATATTTCTTCCAGTCTGCTCCTATTTGTTTGGAAACACTTGAACATATAAGGGCTCCCAGACTATCGTAGTGATTCTCAAACTTTAGTGAATAAGAGCGTCACCTGAGGAGTTAAAAGAATGCAGTCTCACATCGCCACCCCACTCCTGAGATTCAGATCAGTGGTCTGGGCTGGGAAATGGGAATTTGCATTTCAAATAGGTCTCCCAGGTAATTCTGATGCAAGTGGATGCTTTGAGAATCACTGCTCTGCTGTGTGGTTTGGCAAAACATTTGTTCAGGTTTTTGTTTTGTTTTGTTCTTTGACAAACAGATTCCTTTCCTCAAAGATTGCTCTTTATATCTTCATATAAAATGAAAGAATGCCTCCAGAAGGCAGTAGAAAGGGTGGATGGGGGACATTTCCAAGAATGGAAGATGAATCCCTCTCCAAGTATTGCACAAAGATAGACAAAAACCTGCCTGACTCCCATTCTGAGCCTCTCTGAAAATGCAAAGACTTTATAGTTACTATGTTTGATTCTAAGAACACAATGGATTTAAGTCTAAAGATCAATTTAGGTTACTTAAAGGAATCCTTTTGGTCTCCTAGGCCTTTTCAATTTTCTGAAGAAAAATTACAGTGTGTGATATGGGTTATAATCCCATAAATCCATATAATCTTATTTGGACTATAACCTCTCCAGGGAGAAGATTGGTTTTACACTGGACCTTAGGAGGTGGGAAGATACAGATAGGTGAAGAAGAGACTATAGCATATTTTAAGCATGATCAATATGGTCAAAGGTATAGTGTGGAACTGAGTATGGAGTACTTGTGCAGAAGTGAGGAGGATGGTCTTACTGGAGTAGAGGCTACAAGATGAGGAGCCAAGGAAATAAGATTGAGGGGGAGGGATCAGATTATGAAGGGACCTGAAAGACATGAATTTCCTTAATGAGCTTGCATTATTTTTGTAAGCAGGATAACAGATTCCAAAATGCTACTTAATCACTGATTTTTATAGTCATTGTAAAAATTTAAACATTAAAAATAGTAAATGTTAGTTTCTTAAGAAGTAAAGAAAGCCAAACAGAGTTTAGACTTGATGTTCTAGCAAACTGAGAATTGCTGAAGGTTTCTGAAGAGGAAGGTGACTTTGACACTAAGTGCTTTCTAGGTATTCTGGATTCTCACAGGTCGAAGTTGGTGGATATTGTAGGTGGGCAGCTTTGCTCTTTATCATGAAGAAAGGTAAATCCATAGGAACTTTCATGGCACAGATGCTGTGCAACAGGACCAACTCTGTTCCACAGGCTCCTCCCTACCAAAATTTTATCCTGGTTACATAGCTCAGTCTCATAATCAGCCATATTCAAGTACCATAAAGTATTCAGTTGACTGTTCCACTTTATGCTTGAGGCCCTAGAGTAAGGAGGACAGAGCTTAGGCTGAGAATCACCAGGCAACTTGGTAGTTGTTTAATATCCCGAGTCTGGTGTTTGTTTCTGTAAACTGAGGAAGCTGGCCTACATGAACACACCCCTTTCCAGCCCCAATAAAACCACAGCCTATAAAACAGGGGCTTTAGTAAATACATAAAATACAATTTTTTTTAAGCCACTCTTAGCAAGACTACCTTTAAGTTTAAAGCACTCTATGTTCTAAAGAGAAACTGGAATACAACTAAAGAATCAAAGCTTCAAAATTGAAACTTTTAATGAGTAAAATTTTGATGGAAACAGAATACATATAGTCTCAAAGTACCTCTCCACAAAATATTTATTAATTGCAAAGGGAACAGTAATAATTTTACAGTGGAGAAATCTGGCAGAGAGTACCATACCCAAAGTAAATAGAACAAAAGGATATCCTTTTGCCTTCTGATACAATGCACTGAGAAGGATATAACATCACTTATGTAGTATTCCTGCCAAAATTATGTAACCTAAATTATATTGTGAGGAAACATTAGAAAAATCCAAATTGAGGGACATTCTTCAAAATAAATGATTTGTACTCTTCAAAAATAGCAAAGTCACAAACAACAAAGAATGAGGAACTGTTGCAGATTCAAGGAGCTTTCGAGATGTGACAATGAAATGCAACGTACAGTCCTAGATTGGACCTTGGACTAGGAAGAAAAAATATCCTTTTGCTATAGAGTGGAACAATTAGTAAAATTTGAATACAAGCTGTAGATTAGATAATAGTATTATATTAATATTAATTTCCTGATTTTGAGACTTGTACTGTGATAAAAAGATGTCACTGTTTTTAGCAAACATACATGGAAACATTTAGGGGTAAAGGAGTATTATGTCTCTACTCTCTGAGGGTAGGAAAAGTATGTGTGTTTGTGTGTGTGCGTGTGTGTGCGTGTGTGTGTGTGTGTGTGTGTGTGTGTGTGATGCAAGAGAGAGAGGCTGATAAAGCAGATGTGGTGCCGTGTTAACATTGGGAGGGGTAAAAGTATATGGAAAGTCTTTATACTATTTTGCAACTTTTCTGTAAGTCTGAAATTATTTCAAAATAAAAAGTCTTTTAAAAGAGAGGGAGAGAAAACCAGATTACCAGGACAGTGATCTGGATCTCTGGTTTTATACTGTATTCTTTTCACTTCATTTCATTCTCTATGTTACGTTTTCTGATGATATATTGAAAGACAAGATCCTTCAGCTGTACATTGTGATGAAAACTCATCTTGCTGACAAGGTCCCAAAAACAAAGTTTAGATATAGGATGTGCCCTACATATGTATCCTCCCAGGCAGCGAACCCTATTTGCTGGACCTTTCCCTCCTTAGGTCACAGACTATTTGATCTATGTCCCAATCCCTCAGCAACTTACTCCCTGACTTCAGGGTAACAACTTCATATAGGATAAATTTGGCCTTGATTTAGTCCTCCACTTCACATGTGGTATTAAAATATAACAATATATTTTAACTGTTGTGTTCAAGCCTTTAGGCCTTCCTACCATTTTAATCAACATCAAGAGAGTGACTGAGGAAGGGAATTTTTCAGCCAGGAGTTGATCATAACCTCATAGGTAGGACTCTAGAAATTACACTACTGGCAGTCTCTCCATTTAGTGCTGAACTAACCCTCATCTGGTAGTGCCATTTTATACTTGGGGAATGAATTGGGGCTGGGACATTTAAACATTTTCTGAATTCTAAGTATAAGCCTAATTTTCAGTATAATTGGGAAAGATGCTTTGATTCTAAGCCTTTAAAGTTGAAGACATTTTAGTAAACCTCTGTTTTTGTATTTTTTACTGTGGTAAAATATAAAAAAACGTAACATTTACGATCTTAACCTTTTTTTTTTTTTTTTGCGGTATGTGGGCCTCTCACTGTTGTGGCCTCTCCCGTTGCGGAGCCCAGGCTCCGGACGCGCAGGTTCAGTGGCCATGGCTCACGGGCCCAGCCGCTCTGCGGCATGTGGGATCTTCCCGGACCAGGGCACGAACCTGCGTCCCCTGCATCGGCAGGCAGACTCCCAACCACTGCGCCACCAGGGAAGCCCATCTTAACCATCTTTAAGTGTGCAGTTCAGTGGTATTAAATACATCCACATTGTTGTGCATCCATCACCACCATCCACTCCCATAACTTTTTTCATTTTGTGAAACAAACTCTATACCTATTAAATAACTCCCCAATTTTTCCCTCCACATAGCTCCTGGCAACCAGCATTCTACTTTCTGTCTCTATGATTTTGACTAAGTATCTCATATAAGTGGAATCAAATAGTATTTGTCTTTTTGTGACTGGCTTATTTCACTTAGCATAATGTACTCAAGGTTCATCCATGCTGTAGCATATTGCAGAAATACCTTTTTTTTTTTAAGGCTGAATAATATTCCATTGTATGTATATCCCACATTTTGCTTCATCATTCATTCATTGATGGACACTTGGGTTGCTTCCACATTTTAGCTATTGTGAATAAAGCTGCTATGAATATGTGTGTACAAATATCTGTTCAAGTCTCTGCTTTCAATTCTTTTGCATATATACCCAGAAGTAGAATTGCTGGATTATATGATAGTTCTATTTTTGAGTTCACCTTTTACATTATAATATGTGCTTTAAAAACTAAGCCATTGGGAAGCTTATTTAAAGTAAAAAATTTATAGATTAATCCTAAGAGTGAAGTACTGGCTGAAGTCTGAATAGTTATTCTGAAATACAGCTTGATTTATAATCCACACTATAAGGAAATTTATTCTATAATAATAAAATTCCAAGTTATCCAATTTCCAAGTTATCTTTTACTGAAATTAGTTTCCTTTTATCTTAACCTCATAAAAGATATGTCATACATCAAACATTTAAATACGTAATAATTTAGTCTCACCTTTGTTTCTAATTCAGAATTCTCTCTTTGTAGCAGGTCATACGCTATTAAAAAATGGTCTCTGTCTTCTTCTGCCCCTGGAAGACTTTGAATTTCATTATAAAGGCATATAAGTTCTGACTTTGATTTTTGCAATTCCTGATTAAGAAATGACAATATTTAGTAGAATAAAATAAGACTTTCAATAGAAAAGGTATACTATTGCTAAAAAGGAATCTTTGAAATGATTCTGACAAATTTTTTGCTTTAAATATTTCAACCTGTCCTCAGACAGATTCCTTTCTTTAGTAAAGCAAAGATTCCTTAAATCAATTAATTAAACTAAGCATTCTTTTTCTAAATTTGCCTTTCTTTTTTAATGCCCTCCCTGCTCTAATTCTGAAAAAAAGGACCCAGAAATTAAACACAAGGAAACTCAAAGAGCCAAGGCAAGCCAGCCCAAGAATAGCAGGCTCCCTCCTGCAGTGGCCAAAGTGGGCACTGGGGTCTCCACACAGAGCCTGAGAGTAAAAGCTGGTGGAGCATAAGATAGTTCTAGAAGCTAGCAGCAACCGGCCCAGAGGGGCTTTCTGCACAGGGGCAACCCTAACAGGGTCAGGCTGGGTAAGAAGTGTTGTTTGTTGGTCTTGTCAAAGAGCTCCTTCCCATAGACAACCAGGAACTGGGCTCCATGTGCCCTGTAGGAGACCAAGCCTAAGGCCCTGGCTCTGGACAAGGCACCCAGGCAGTGGAAAGCAGCCCCTGGACCGGCCATGGTTGTGGATGGTCACATGCCATAAGCATTCTTAATTTCTATCATTTATAGGTTCAAAGATGGGTTTCTAGTTATCCCTACTTTACCCAAGGCTTGTATAGAGGTAAATCTTCAGCAACTCCTGCATTAGTTATATTACCTGTTTTAAAATATATCTTTTTAAAGTTACTTTTTATAGGACAGGTGCTGTGTGGTTTACCTTTAATCTTGTGACAACCCCATAAGGTAGGGTTATTGAAACTGAGGCTCAGAGAACTAAAGTGATCTGCCTAAATTCATATAGCCAGGAAGTGGAAAAGTTGAGATTCAAACTATCTGACTGACTTCAAACACTGTGTTCTTCACTACAAATTACACTGTCTTACTTAATAATGCGTATTCAGTGACTTAATCAACTAGTGTTTCCTCTAATCCTCTGATTTTTTTTCCATATTCATGAGAGAAAACATTTTAGTTAGATGTAGATTTTAATCAAATTTCTGCATTGATGACATGGAATATGCAGTGTTTGATTGGTGGATGAGGGGGCCTGAGAGTCAGGCCATGGTGCCCTATGAAGGAACAGGTGACATAAAATTTATTTAGGAGAGGAGCTACTTGGTATATTCCTAAAGGCTTGAGATCAGAGAGGGAGGAAAGTGTTGATGAGGAAGGCACTGGGCAAAAAGGAAAGAAGGTAGGGAGTGGCCACCCAAAACCATAGGAAGAGGGCAAGTAGCATCAATGTCCTACCTCATTTCATGGAAAATTCCTATAAGTCATCAGCATGGGATATAGAGTATTGTGCTAGCTCTCACCCACCCTGCAAACTGATTGTCACCATCCTCTAAATTAGTGATCTAGACTTCCATGAACTCACTTCCAGGTCTCTCTTCCAAATATAGGCTGGTATGTCCCCTGATAGACTTTTCCAAGATGGTACGACCAGCAGTTAAAAGGAGAGACAAGTCCGGGCCACTATGACCACCATAATAATCAAATCCCTTCTACTTAAAGGACTCTTTTTGGGTAGTGTTGGAACTCAGCCTGGAGAAACAAGTTACCCCATTGTTACTGGTATAAATAATATTCTATAGCTACAATTTATTTTAAAATAAAAATGAATAATAACATGAAATCCCTAAATTACAAATGCAAAAAGAGGAAAATAACATTTTGAATGGCAAAATACCTCACTTTCAACTTTCAAAGACTTCTGCACAGTATTAAGATCAGATGTCAATTGCTTTTTCCTTTCTCTCTCTTCTGACAACTCACTTTCAAATAGTTCAATTTTTTCTTGGCTCATTTTCAATATCTGCAAAAAGTATTTTACATAATTAATTCTATATACAATAATCATATATACTATAAGTTCTGATAATACTTTTCTGCCTAAACAATTATAAAGTCATCTAGGGGAGAGACAAACCTGGAAAAAAATAGTTCATGGTACCATAGCTCATAAGATAGGTTTTCCTCTCTAAGCCTGTTTTCTCAACTGTAAAATGGAAATAATACTTGTCCTATGTACGTTATAGCCATCAGAGTAGGAGTCAAATGTGATTTTGAAAGTATTTTGTAAGTTTTAAGCACCTACCAAATATAAGGAATTTTAATTTTATTTGGTAAGAATTTTATCTTACCAAATTGATGATAATAATAATAGTAATTTCAAAAATAATGAGAGCAACGACTATTTTATTTTAGTGCTTACCATATGTCAGACATTGTAGTAAATGCTTTACATGTATTATCTAATTTTGTTTCCCAGTACCCCTATGAGATTAGAACTATTATTGTATTCTTTTTTAGAGAGAGCATAAGTGAGGCTCAGATAGATTAGGTAATTTGTGCAAGGTCACACAGTCAGGACTGGGATTCAAACCAAGGCTAATTTATAAGCCCTTGCTCTTATTTTAATTTTATTTAAAAAAAACTGAGGTATAATTGACATAGCACATTATATTAGTCTCAGGTGTACTACATAATGATTCAATATTTGTATATTTTGCAGAATGATCACCACAATAGTTCAGTTAACATCCGTCATCACACATAGTTGTGATTTTTCCCCTACTTTCAAATATGTAATACAATCTTATTAATTATAGTCACCATGCTGTACATTATATCCCCATGACATTCATTTTATAACTGGAAATTCGTACTTTTTGATTTCCTTCATCCATTTCACCCACTCCCAACCCCTTGCTTCAGGCAACAACCAATCTGTTCTCTACATCCATGATTTTTTGTAATTTTTTTTTTTAAGATTCCACATGGGAAATCATATGTTATTTGTCTCTTTCTGTCTGACTTATTTCATTTAGCATAATTCCCTCAAATTCTGCATGTTCCTCAATTTTGCATGTTGTTGCAAATGGCAAGATTTCAGTATTTTTTAATGGCTGAATAATATTTCATTGTGTATATATACCACATTTTCTTTTTCCATTCATCCCTTGATGGACACTTGGGGTGTTTCCATGTATTTATTATTGTATATAATGCTGGAATGAACATGGGGGTGCATATATCTTTTCAAATTAGTGATTTTGTTTTCTTTGGATAAATACCCAGAAGTGGAATTGCTGGATCATATGGTAGTTCTATTTTTAATTTTTTGAGAAATCTCCATAATGTGCTGCACCAATCTCCATAGTGGCTGCACCAATTTACATCTCCACAAACAGTGCACAAGGGTTTCCTTTTCTCTACATCTTCACCAACACTTGTTATTTCATGTCTTTTTGATAACAGCCATTCTAACAGGTGTGAGGTGATATCTCATTGTGGTTTTGATTTGCATTTCCCCGATGACTGGTGATATTGAGCATCTTTTCATGTGGCTGTTGGCCATCTGTATGTCTTCTTTGGGAAAATGTCTATTCAGACTCTTGGCCCATTTTTTAATCAATTTTTTTTTGCTATTGAGTTGTATGAGTTCTTCATATATTTTGGATATTAACCCCTTGTCAGATATATGATTGGCAAATATTTTCTCCCACTTGGTAGATTGTCTTTTCATTTTATTGATACTTTCCTTTGCTGTGCAGAAGCTTCTTAGTTTGACATAGTGCCACTTGTTTATTTTTGGTGCAAAAAATCATCACCAAGACTGATGTCAGGGAGCCCACCACCTGTTTTCTTCTAGGAGTTTTATGATTTTAGAAACTACATTCAAGTCTTTAATCCATCTTGAGTTAATTTTTGTGTATGATGTAAGATAGTGCTCCAGTTTCATTCTCTTGCATATAGCTGTCCAGTTTTTCCAGCACCACTTATTGACGAGACTGTCCTCTCCCCACTGTGTACTCTTGGCTCCTTTCATAAATTAATTGACCATATATGTGTGGATTTACTTCTGGGCTCTCTGTTCTGTTCCACTGATCTATGTGTCTGTTTTTATGCCAATACAATAGTGTTTTGATTACTACAGCTTTTAAGATAGTTTGAAATCAAGAAGCATAATGCCTCCAGCTTTGTTGTTCTTTCTCAAGATTGCTTTGGCTATTCAGGGTCTTTTGTGGTTCCAGACAAATTTGAGGACTATTTGTTCTATTTCTGTGAAAAATGCCATTGGGAATTGTGATAGGGATTGTACTGAATCCACACATTGCTTTGGATAGTATGGACATTTTCACAGTATTAATTCTTCCAATCTATGAGCATGGAATATTTTACCATTTATTTGTGTCTTCTTCATTTCTTTCATCAGTGTTTTATAGTTTTCAGTGTATAGGTCTTATACCTCTTTGGATAAATTTATTCCTAGGTATTTTATTCTTTTTGATGCAATTGTAAATGTGATTGTTTTCTTTATTTCTCTTTCTGATACTTGTTATTTGTTTGTTATTATGCAATAGATTTTTGTGTATTGATTTTGTATGCAACTTTATTGGATTTATTTACTAGTTCTAACAGTTTTTTGTCGTAGTCTTTAAGGTTTTCTATGTATAATATCATGCCATCTGCAAATAGTGACAGTTTTACTTCTTCCTTTCCAATTTGGATGCCTTTTATTTCTTTTTCTTCTCTGATTGCTCTGGCTAGGACTTCCAATACTACATTGAATAAAAGTGGCAAGACTGGGCATCCTTGCCTTATTCCTGATCTTAGAGAAGAAGCTTTCAGCTTTTCACTGTTGAGTATGATGTAAGCTGTGGTCTTGTCATATATGGTGTTTATTACGTTGAGGTACATTCCTTCTGTACCCACTTTGTTGAGAGTTTTTATCATAAATGGATGTTGAATATTTTCAAAAGTTTTTTTTGAATCTATTGATGCATAGTATAATTTTTACCCCTCATTTTGTTAATATGTTGTATCACACTGATTGATTTACAGCTGTTGAACCATCCTTGCAGCCTTGGAATGAATCCTACTTGGTCATGGTGTATGATCCTTTTAATGTATTGTTGAATTCGGTTTGCTAATATTTTGTTGAGGATTTCTGCATCTATGTTCATCAGGGAAATTGGCCTGCAATTTTCTTTTCTTGTGGTGCCTTGTTTGGTTTTGGTAACAGGGTAATGCTGGCTTTGTAAAATGAATTTGAAGGTGTTCCCTTCTCTTCCATTTTTTGGAAGAGTTTGAGAAAGATTGGTATTAATTCTTCTTTGAATATTTGGTAGAATTTACCAATGAAACTGTCTAGCTGTTACTTTTATTTATTTTTTATTTAAAAATATTTATTTATTTATTTATTTATATTTACTTATTTTGGCTGTGCCGGGTCTTAGTTGCAGTACACAGGATCCTTAGTTGCAGTATGCGCACTCTTGGTTACGACATGCAGACTTCTTAGTTGCAGCACGCAGACTCTTAGTTACAGCATACATGTGGGATCTAGTTCCCTGACCAGGGATTGAACCCAGGCCTCCTGCACTGGGAGCTTGGAGTCTTACCCACTGAACCACCAGGGAAGTCCCTAGCCCTTACTTTTAATATACACTTTATTCAGAGTTGCCAAAGTGTATTTTCTTTTGTGTACAAAAACCTATTAGGAACTTAATTTGAGGTCAAAATGCAGCCTAGTGAATACAGAGGGAGAATCGAGAGAATTTCCTTAATATTGCCATGAAGCTGCAGAATCTTCTCCACTGGCAGAGCAAACCTGTCAAGTGAACTAACTGCATATTTGGATTGGCCAGTCAGGGAGCAGCATGAACTTGACAAGTCTATACTCTCTATCTTGGGAATTGCGTAATGATATGTTGGAAAAGAGTCCTACCAGATCTGTCCTACTATTTACCAACAGTGGGACCCTGAGCCAGTTATCTAACTTTTCTTAGTCTCAGTTTCCTCCTCTGAAAAATAGGGATAACGATGGGCACCTTGATTGTACAAAGTATATGCAAATGGAAGTTTATATTATTATTGGACTGTTCTGAATTTTCACATTTACTCTTTAGTTGGACAACACCTTTAAATCATCCTTACAATTTCAACATACTAGTTCATCCTAAAAACATTTTTAATGGGCTCCTTCCTGAATGACTAATCCTGGAAGGTTTTCTGTAACCACTGATCACAATCATAGGATGTAGATTTACCATACATTTTGTCTATTTTCAGTAATTCTTAAGCAACCTTATGGAGTCTGCCTCATCTGTATTAGAAAATGTAACTGAAAATGATCTTTTTATTTCTTACCTCATTCAAATCTTGTACTTTCACTGTCTCTTGACCTTTCATACTGGTTTCTCGTCTGTCTTCCTATATTACTGATAACTCAGGCTCTAAGAGGGAAATATTAATCCAAATAAACCATCAGTTAAAATATATACGCGGGCTTTCCTGGTGGTGCAGTGGTTGGGAGTCCGCCTGCCGATGCAGGGGACACGGGTTCGTGCCCTGGTCTGGGAGGATCCCACATGCTGCGGAGTGGCTGGGCCCATGAGCCATGGCCACTGAGCCAGTGCGTCCGGAGCCTGTGCTCTGCAATGGGAGAGGCCACGGCAGTGAGAGGCCCGCGTACAGCAAAAAAAACAAAAACAAAAAAACCCCATACATACGCGTATGTGTTATTTTAAAAAAATACTGAAAAGATAAGCTACATTTCTTAAGTGTCTTTTCCAGAGGCTACACCCCTGAAATCTCCCTCACCAACAAGTTTTGCCTTTTTTCTGGTCTTGGATCCTTTGAAGAGTTGCTTTATTATATATTTGAGCCCTTGCTCTGTTTGCAACTTAACGAAAGGGAACAAGTACTATTAGAAAAACATACTAGAGAATCCTGATGATTCTGAATTAATCAAGCTGATAATTTACCTTATTTTTTTTTAACTTTACGAAAGTAATTTGT